AATTTAATAAAACTGAAATAAACGATCTTGAACGTTTCACTGCTCGACGCATCTCGTTAACATTTTTAAATTAAAAATCTTATATAACTTCGTATTTACACGTTGGGGTGCTAAAACGAATATCATTTCACGCTGTTGTTACGCCTACGTTTCCGATTTTTATCCGTGGCCTACATTTGAATAAAAATGTTAAAAAAAATGATGCTATGTTTTTCTTGTTTTTATACATATCTTGTAACTGTTCATCAAACGTTATTTCGCTAAACGCTATATCAAAAAATATTTTTCCATTATTTTGAATAAAATTGTCAATTCCACTCTAAAAATAAGCCTTTAAAAGAGACACGTTTCTTAAAGTATAGATGTTGGAAACGAGTGAAACTCTTGGAGCGTAATCTTTGTAAGTGTACTTAGTACTTACGGGATTACGAACGTGATTATTAGGACGTTCATTCTGGCATGCGCTAATTTTTCCTTTGTTCGTCCTGCGACGAGCGTCCGGTCGCTCTCGGTTCGTCCGAGCTCGTCATTCGAGCGTTTTATCAAATTAACTCGTTTAATTGGGCGCATCCATTATTCCATGGCACCCACGAGGTACGAAGAAATACGATCCTATGGGAAACGCGCGCAATTCCGCGTTGGATCCGAATGACGTAAGCTCTCTCGTTTTTTCATAAACGCAACACCTACGAGAATTTTAAACTTTGGATTTTTTGGATAAAATTCAAACCGGAGGTAATTCTAGCTTGCGAAACTTTTCACTGAAGTGCTTTAAATTATTTTTACTTATTTTGATTGTTAGCGTTGTTTCTTATAGATTTCTAGCTATTTTTATATTGTACAAAATTTGCTATCTTGATTAGAAAAAACATTTGAATAACATGGGTGTGTAAAGACCAGAGCGAAGTAAAAATGTCCGCGAAATTACGCGTTATTATTTCAGCAGACCGGTTAACGGGTGATCTCGTTTGCGTAATAATCGGCTTGGGAATGGGAAACGACAATGGTAGTTGCGACGGAATGCGCTGTCGACTGATAGGTACATACAAACGATAAATGCCGCTTGCAACGAGATTGTCTTGTCCGTCGAGAGTTAACAAATATCGTTGTTAACTGAAAAAGCACCGAGTTGAATTGTGATCGTTAAATCTACCACGATTGTTGCGTCAAAACTTATTTGAAACTTCGGTGATTGATGCTTGGATTAGATCGATGCTGCCATTTCTAGATATTATTTCGAAAGGAACATGATATATATTTTTAACAAATCAATGCATTAAGACAGAGGAATTGTCTAAAACTCTCTTCCCTTTTTTTAAATCAATTTTTCTTTTGTTACCTTTTTTTTTCTTGGCCGGCACTAAACCCAAGTTATGGCAGATATGAGTTACGTTTAGAGACGCAACTTGCAACGGTGGGTCCTTTATGGCATTCGGCCGAGTGTGCCGAATGCGCAATTATCGAACACGACATAACGCCAGCCGCGGGAAGAAAGATCGTGGACTGCTTCAGAAGTGTACCGATTTCTTTCACCAGAAGTACGACGAGACTGCCGGCTCGTCGCTTTCACGAAACTTCTCTTTCGTAATGTCACCCGCAACAATTCCCTGTCATTTCTCGTCTCATTGCATTTGCATGCCGCATCAAACTCTCACCAAATCGATACTATAATTGCATCGATTTTGTGAATACTGACATTCGATCCGACTTCTTCTTGAACACACTTTTCACTTGTCAGTAGAACGAAGTAAAACACTAAATAGATTATAGATGACATTTAAAAAAATGAGATAATATAAAAAACTATGAAATATTATAAATATCGCGCGTGAATTGTTAAAGGAAACTATATTAAGTAAAATATTATAAATCACGATTCTTAGGTAATTTCTATTGCGTTTGCGTAATTGCTAACCTGGGAATCTCTCGCGAATTTAGAATACCGGACTGTGATTGTGAGGCAATCTCTTTCTGTTTTTTCTCGAGCTAAGCGAGGACGACGCAATGAGCCTCGAAGGAAAGGATGTCACCGCCGAGATCGAGAGACGACGTCGTTATCGTCATTGCGGTCCGAAAAAGTCTACAGCTGCTATCGCCAGATGTACCGCTCATTCTCGATTCGGCTCGTCCCAGCTTCGTTTTCACTTCGTACGCGGCTATTCCGAATTAGGCGATCTTATCGAAGACTTAAAACGATGTTCCCAGGAGATCGTTCCGGTCTCTAAATTTATCTCAATCTTCGACTTTAACTTAGCTTGTAGAATGTCCGTCAGAAAGATTGTTTTCCAGCTCGAATTTTTTCGCGTTTACTTATCTTTCACTTAAATATTCATTAATCGGATATTTTAATTGGATTGATTAGATTGCACGTAGTCATGCATCGTTTCGTGCGCATTCTCTCCATTTATTCAACAGTTTAACGCTTCAGTAGATCCGCTCGCCCTTGAATTTTAAAGAATGACCGACGAATCGGCGGCGTAAAGCCAAAGCCGTTCGCGCTTTACGTCTCGTGCGTGATTTTCTCGATCCTCTGGCGAGGCGAGTTCTCTCCGCCGCGCCGCGCCGCGCGCGATAGAAATACGATCATACGAAGCGATTATTTCTTTGCGGCACAGAGCCTGGATAATTGCTATCTCGCTTATTGCGCCTCGGTCTCGCTTGTTGCGTTTTGGTCAGCGAGTATTTGGAATGAACGCAGTGGCGTAGTTCGAGTCTTTTACTGTTAATCTTACTTGATAGAGGTCATTCTTTAGTCTTATCAAGATATGAATTGTTTTTCTGTTACTCGTATGACGAGCGATATCATTAAACAACGTTCATACGAGATTGCCGATAATCCGTCAAATCTGAGGAACAGCAATTTTTTTTCGCATCAATGAAATTGGAAATTAGGAGTCGACCTTATTATAATACGGGCATTTTGATGCTGAAACAGATTTGAACTTTTACTTACTAAAGCCTTTAAAGTAATTATATATGAAACAATTTTTTTACTGATTCAGTTGTTGACTAATCTGATGTGACGCTCCGAACTAGATTAATAACAGGAAAACTTTTTAAAAAATAATATTTCTGTTCTGAGTTTCTCTTTACATCGCATCGGCAGAAAAGAAAAGGAAACTGACTACGCTCCTGATGCAAATTCTCGTCCTCGTGCAGTTAGAGTTGGCAGTTATGCAGAAAAGAGCATTCCGAGTAGTAACTCGGGGCTCGATTCGACAGGGCCCCGGTACCTTATTAGAATTTATATTTCAGAGTATTTCAGGAAATTGCGCGCTGCCTTTCAACCGGGTACTTTCTAATGAATCCGGAATCATTTTTCCTTCTCTTGAGAGAGGTCGTTCGTTAAGTCGGCGACTTTTCATCACCGTAGAAATCTCTAACATAAAATTTCGGAATGTAGGACCGACCCGCTTTTGACATTAACCGCACTTTTTTCTTCCAATATAACAAGTTTACAGTTTGTTGTTAGTTATGCTTATAGCATTAGTGCTTGATTTAATAACATTGATGGTCGGCGTCGTTTTTCCGTCAAAAAATCGCAAAACAAACCGTTTAATTTGTTTCAACTAATAATATCTGGAATATTATCGGCAAAAAATATCTTTTTTTTGTTGTTGTATACATTACTTAATAATTTTATTCGAACAGCTTCGAGAGTTCAAAGAATAAAAGGTTACGCCTGGGAAAAATAATATTTATTGATGAAAATTATTTTATATGATAAGCTTTTATAGACGTAATTAATTTATGAAGAAAATTTATTTATTAATTCTTATTTAAGTAATGTTTATCAATATGTGCACCCTTTGTTTTGATTACTAGATATACAAATTTGCACTCGTCGAACTAATTTTATTAATGTTTCTACTGATATTTTATTCCACGTCTCTTGTAATTATTTCTTCTCTACATGTCTTCTCTGTTTGTAGGAAGTATAGATTTTAATAAATAAAATAATAATGTATAATGTAATATTGAATCAAGGATAGTTCGATGAACGTTGATAATATTTTAGAATACGTACAATTACAAGCAATATACAATAAAAACAGCGTTAATTATTCTAAAATCTAATAAAATGTTATTTATGTTAACAATGAGACATTTATTTAGCTTTGAGAATCAAAGTAAAGTATAAAATATTTGATGTTCTCATAATTATGAGCAATAATATACCTATATATATGTAAAAATAGAGATACGCGGGCAAATTATGCATTTCATGCGTCCTTCACAATATTTTACTTTACCTTCGGTATTTATCGTGCGTTGTTTACCGTAAGTTTTCTCTATCCACGAGATCAAGGACCACAAAGTGCTTTACTCTCAAGATTTACTCACGCGTCACCGCAATATCACAGGCCAATATTACGGGCCACAGAGAAGAGAAAGAGAGATGAAGAGAGAGTGTCTTGTAATAATATCGTGTAACTTACGTACAGGCGAGTTATTACGCGGCGCGGAAATATGTTAATATACCTATTTCTTAATATATAACCGGTAATGATGCACTTTACTTTATGGGATCGCGCGCACAGAACGTGTTCTCGAAACGGCCAATATCTCTCGTGCCGCCGAAGAAATCGCGCAGGATTTTTCCATCGTTATGCGTTTAACCTTATGCACTCCAGGAAATAAGCTCGACCAGGAAGCTGACCGTCGGAAATTTGAAAAAAAAAATTGACAATGTGTCGTCTCGTGCCGCGCCCTGCGATACGAAATATAGGGAATAATAAATATACAGGTCATATGGCCAATCCCAAAAGATATTGGTTTAAATGTATCTAAATAATAATGATTTATAGTAGAATTATTAAGATAGTGGGAATAACAATCGATAAAAATAATTAATCGATAAAATTACATTACAAAAATATACATATATCAAATTAAGCAACAGGGGAATAATAATCGAGTTAATACGTTAGGATTACCTTGAAGGTGCTAATCATCATTAGAAATGAAATCAAGTTTAATATGATTCGCTTATTTTTCAGGAGGCAGCAGTTGGAGCAGCCCGTATACTGCGAGTCCGAGTCGCGGCGACCCATCACCGTGGAAGATGACAAGCAAGACGTATCAGGCGCCAATCCGGAGAAAGTTAAGGTATAAAGTTACGCATTGTCGGCTACGCTAATGGAACGTTTCTAAGTATTATACTTTCCAAGCTAGTACAATTATACATTATACGTATTGATGATTATTGATTTACACTCGCGACAACTAATCGCGTAGCTTTACGAATGAAAGCAAAAGGGGAGGTGAAGAAAAATGTATTCTGAAATATCTGTTGCAGAGTACGACGCAGGATCTATTCGAGTTACTTGAGCGAGTGCAGAGTTCGCGTCTTGACGATCAACGCTGCGTTCTGCCGTCGTACTTTTCTCAGGTATGTGAAAAGATTCATATTTATTCTAAGATTCATTTTTACGCGTTACTGCAATGTCATTATGATGTTATTACGAGAGGAGAAAGAGGAAAAAAAAGAGCGTCTTGTAATAACATCGTATAATTTATATACAGGCGAGTTATTATCCGCCTCCGCGGCACGGAAATGTGTTAATACGTCTATTTCTTAATATATCAAAGCACGTAGATACGCGAATGACACCATAAAGTAAATTATTTAGAAAATCGAAATAATAAAAAAAATGTTTATTTTTTTTTTAACTGTATAAGACACACTATAGAAGGACAAGAAACTTTTTAGAATAAGACTCTTCCTAAAATAACTAATTATAAATAACTCCATATATTTATATGATATATGATACATATTTAAGAGTAAAAATGTTTATGACGTTTTTTTATTTTTATTTAAAACGACATTCCGCGACGTAACATTTACTTAAGTCAATGCGGCATACCGGTGCCCGTATATTCTAAAAGAACTGCTAGCTCCTCGTTATCTAATTTCACGCATTTAACCGTAATTTAACGGAGTAGCTCGAAAGTCTCACGAAAGCTGGTCCAAATTTACGACATTTCATTTCTGTCTCACGCTTTCATGATTGATTTAATTTTCAAGCGTTTCGAAATGACATTGACAAACTGTCTCAACATCGCGACCGAATATTTCGAGCATATCTAATACTACGTAATTCTCACATACATAAATTGTTACGTTACTTTGCGAAAGTGGTTAGAACAAGGAGACCTTTTAATGGAAACACGACGACCACACGGTGATCTGTACTTGTGTTGTAATAGATTTTACATAAAATTTATAGTCAAAGTATCATCTCTTTAATTATTATGTATATGTATCTATGTTATTTTTTCACTATTGACCGCTATTGACGCGATATCTTGCTTGAAAGAAAAAAATAATCGGTTTCTCAATAAATCTTTCCGTGAAAGACAAGAGATAAGCTTTTTTTCTGAAATTGTTCATTCGATTATTCTCAACTTTCCGTTTCTTGCGCGTAAATCTCGCGTGACACTGTCCACCCCCGGCTATGAGAACGAGCCAGAGATGAATGGACGACGACGCGAAAAAGAGGAGAGATAGGAAGAGGCTGAGAATGAATGAACAACGTGATCCGTCACGGCTGCCTGGACGCGGGCGAAAGAACTCGAGACGAATCGCCCGATCGCGCATCACTTGATTTCCTGCGATCGGGCAGAGCCGCGTCGCGTATGGGGCCCGGTACCGCGTCAGAGACCCCGCGTTTTCCCCTCGCTAGAAGGGGCATCGTGGCAGTCACACATTAAATCGGCACGGTACAGGGGAACCTTGCCTTGTCCCCCTTTACTCAGCCCGAAATGGATAAAGAGAGAAACGCGCTTGTCTTCGCCTCGGCTTGCTGGTTTCGCGGTAATTGATTGAACGCCCAACGGGATTAAATGACACCGCGGAGCAAATTATGCGGGATGATGCAGAAAAAGATGCTCTTTTCAACCATTGATGCTGAAAGAACAGCTAAAAAGAAATATTAGTGCTCGAAACATTTGTTATAGCAATGAAATTTCCAAAATTGTAATTGCTGAAAATACTTTTGCATATTATATTATTAAAGGTGATGCTCATGTGACGATGGCTAGGAAATTATTCAAACATTAAATTAATTTTTATTCCAAGAAAAATTTCCAAAAATTTCTCGAGAAGGTATGGGAATAAATAATAAAACCACGTTGCTTCCAGTTAATTTTAAATTTGATTCAAAAAGCACCAGAGGATCATCAATCATACTCAGTTTAATCAGTCGCGACGCTAAGTCGGATCTTCTCTTTCGATCGAAGAAACCAAGCGACTTTTACATTCGTGGGAAAAGTTATCACGAATAACAGGCAAAGAGAAAAAAAAACAAGAGATGTCTGCAGGAAGTTGCGCATATGGGAATTGCTTTTGAGGAATATTGCGCGCCTCTTGCTTTCTTTCTCGCCGGTGAATCGCGATCCGGATTTCAACATACGAATGTAATCATCTGCGTACCACATGCTATCCCACAATGTCGTGAGTCGTGAGAAGCGTTCGCTCCTTTTTACCCGAACTCGCTGTTCTTTTTTCTTCTGCTTTCGCTTCGTGTCTCTGCTTGATCGGTGGATGTTTTTTTGTTGCCGATAATGCAGATCGCGTTGATCGGTCTGATCGGAAAGGTATGTTATCGACGGTACGCATCACTATTCTATATTATCGGCTTAGAAGAAGTTGGTATCGTGATGATCTTCTTTATCAACAATTTAAAAAATATTTAAAATTTTATTGCGTTTTTTATGCGCGAAATATATAAAATTACATTGATCGAACGAATGAAATTGCGGATTATGCAATTTATTCTTCGACGATGAAATTAGGATTAATTTTAATGTTATTCTTTACATAATTTAAACGTCTACACATTTAAACAAACATAAAATAAAAAAATTCTGAAATTTATTTAACTCTCTTTGATTATTGCGAATTAATTTCAATTAAGGGGATCCTGCAGCTGTATGATTTACCGACATTATCGTTAATCGATGGATCTTTTAATTGGCTTTACAGAATTGCAAGTTTTTGGTCTAGAATTAAAGTCCGTACAAAAATCTAGGGTGGAAAACGCGATTTTATATCAAAAGCACCAAAAAATTAAAAATATTACTTATTGGGGCACATACACAGCTGTCACCTGACGACAATATTTGCTTAAAACAAAAATTCTACAGTTTATACGTACATAATGTTTATCATCCACCCTTGGGAAAACATGTAGGAATAATATCGTGTAAATAGAAGTAAGATTCAATGCGTACAAAAAAAGATCCATCTAATAATTATTTTAGTAATGCAAATACGGATGCAGGATGACAAGAAGAGCAGCAACAGTAGTTGCCGGATCTTGCGTAAGATGGCGAGCAATCGAAAAAAGGACAGATGTCATTTCGTTAGACAAAGACAGATATAGGGAAAACAAAATTAGAAAGGTTGACATTATCGACATCGAGGAAGTTCGCCAGTCACTGCAGGATCCCCTTAACATTGCATACAGGGTTGTGCAGTAAATTTCAAGATAAGATATGTTTTATGAGGCTGCTGCTAGATGGCAGAAGAATTCTGTTAGTATGCTAGATTTAACGAATCCGCAGACTCGACTTTAATATGTATATACCTATTGCGGATATTCTCATTTACACATACATTTACACATAATACTTTATATACATTTTTGCAAACCACACATACTGCGATACATATCTGAGAAAAGATGGAAATAAAGGAAAACTAATTTAAGGATAAAATGAGAAAGATACTAAAATCCATGATTGATATAACTAAAGTAGAATAGTGAAAGCTAGAGCTTATTTTTTATTTATATTCTTTAATTTAAAAAAACCAACTTTTTAAAATCCTTATATTTTTTCGTTTTTTCATAGTAATATATTTGTGAAATAATAAAATCATATTAAGTATTTGTTTAATAATTACAGTTCAATTATCGCTTCGATTTTTATAATTATCTGTATTTTGCTTTAGGATTGAAAAGAATAATTAATTATTTATTTAATAATTATGATTAATTAAATAACAATTAAGATATTATGATCGGGAAATCACGATATCGTTTTATTGACTCAAGATAAATTTCTTTAAAGAAAGGTTTCTTCGCTTCTCACGCGAAGACAACGATAGAAATGAATTGCCTGTCATCTTCCATTGTGTTATTTTGAACGGCACATTTGTCAATCATTACAAAAATTTACGAGCATTTCTTAAGTAGTAAATAATTATATGGTTCATTATACGCGAACCGAAACTCTCCGAAACGCGTCGCTGATTCGCGCGACGCGATAAAACGAGACGCGCTAGCGCAAAGGGCGAGGCAGGGGGAACGGGTCGCTTCCGGTCGGCCAGGTAAGCGCACCGGAAGCTGCCGCTTCGAACCATCGTACTCTGGCCAAACGGCCGGGAAGATTTTCAGATTTGTACCCTCTGCGCAGTGGCCGTGAAGATCGTAGATTTCGTGTCGCGGGTCTCTCCTTCCACAAAAAGTAATCATTGTGCTCTTTGTGGGCTACAATCGAGAAAGGAAGCGAGTGAATACGAAAAAACAAAGCTATTTGACAATATATGTTTGAAAACAAGGATAAACAAATAATTTAAAGTTTAAAATTATTTATAAATTATTGTGTAAAATTGGCAATTGCGTAATTGCGTAATATATAATTTAGTAACATTGGAAAGCAGAAGAACTTTCTTAAACTTATTGTTTCTCTTCAAATTGATTAGTGGGCGTATTATTTACTCTGACTTATTGGATCACGTAAAATTGCATATTCCGGCCAGACCTCTTTGCTAGAAACAATTTAATTTTTTTATGAAGAATTGCATTGTACTTTCTATAGTAAATTCAAACCCCTGAATCATGTATACTAGCGAACAAATTCTCCCATTGCGTGGACTTTTTTCATATGTTTCTTAGCTCTTTTGAACGTTTATTGTCTTACTGTTTTCATTAGATCGATCTATCTGTTCTTTACTGTAATTTGTAAAGTAGTAATTTCGAGGTTTCTTCTTTTCTGCATCTTATTCTGCGTCTTTTGCTGATGTTGTAATTATAATCATACTATGTGTACTAAAGGGACTTTTCTTAATTCCCGTTTATAAATAAATATATAAATATATTGGTAAATGACTGTAATTTATTTTTATTATCAGCTTGATGTAAGAAATGAAGATTCTTCAAGAAATTCTTGAGTAGATAAGACTTCATAATTTATTAATAATTTTGAAATTGAAATGACGTGTCAAACTTACTTAGGTAAGATCGTCTTTTTTGGAAAATTGAGTCGACTTGAAGTATTCTTCACCGAGAAATTGTCAAGTTATTTCCTTCTTTGTACTTAATTCGTAAATAACTTTATCATAACTGTTCTCTAGAATTAGTTGAACATGAGTTATAGACTATT